TTTTAAGTGTGATACGTACCGTTACAATCTGGTAATCATATCGTGTGTCCGTAGCCGTCACCAATCAGAAGGTCGGGCACGTTTTCTTCCCCTGTTCAATAAATACCCTGTTTGAACGTTCGGCATATTTGTTTCGTGATCGTTCGACGTATTGTGAACGTTACGGACCACAGTCCATTGACCTTCCTGGCGTTCCATAGGTCGGTCATTCGCTGGTAAGCTATTAGTTCCGTGTTGTTTGTTGTTTTGAACAATGTACTTACCAAAAGGAAATTCCATAGTTTCTAGAATACGTACTGTGGAAGTCTCGATGAGGTCCGCTCGCCGGTTAGGGATGATGTGTTGGAAATAATCGGATTCGCTCGTATATAAACATATTGGTCGGTGCACAGACGTTTCTGATTGGTATAGTTCTTCCGCATTTAGTCAATGTAAAATAATATGTATGATGCCTGTTTGGCGCTTTCAAAGTGTCAATTTACATTATTTAAACGCGTCTCTTTCGTACGATTTCTATTCGCTGAAAGCAACAATATTCATTCGCCCTCCCAAACCCTACTGACAATCGGATGTTTATGAAATTTTTTCGTTTTTTTCGGTTTTATGTGAAATACACATTACAAATTTTTTTAATGTGGATAATTTTATAACAAAATAACATTCACTAGATTGTGAATACTGATTTGGGCTTTTTATGGAGTCCATACTTGGTGAATCAAATCAAATTAAAAAAGGATAAGTGTTAAAATAGAACAACACAAAAATCGATTCTAATTGGATCCGGCATTAGATTAAAAAAAAAAAAATAAACCACAAATATTATGGATTCATCTAATTTAAATATTACCAAAACTTTTACTTGTACATTTTGAATCTGAATTAAATAAAAAAAATTGAGTTGTTACTCCCCTAGAAATAAATCTAAATACGCTCCTGTCAGATGGCGATGATTATTAGACGACGTGTAAAATACTTGCAGGCGTTCAGACGCTGCTAATGCCACTGCAAACATTGATTTCCGTTCGGCCGTAATGTTTGTACGCACCGCGAACGAAACGCGTATCCCGTGCCGGCGATCAACTTTAATCGGGACGGGAAAACGGAATACTAATGATTCCGATAGTGCAGGGGTACACAACATCGCATCGTATTAAGATTGAATCATTTTCATATTCACGTGACATCGGTCGTATTGTTCGCCGTTTATTGATTCGCACGGAACGGATACTGTTATTAAAAGATTGCATTGTACAGATTATAATGGTATTGCGGTGCGTGAACCGATTCGTTTTACACTTTTTCCGTTGATTACCGATAACCGGGAATTGGGTCGGATGCGTGAGTGTAAAAAAAAATCGATTAATTCAAGACCACTGCCGCGAAGAAGAAATCATAATACATTTAAATAATAGTAATTTTTTTTTATATACACTAGTACGAAACAAAGGAAAAAATATCCCATTGTTGGTGAACGAATTTGGACTTTTAACAACGCTGGTTGTTTATCAGTGTTGTGCTTTAGATAAATTTATCTAGATATGTAATCTACATAAATACTTCATATCGTTATCTTATCTAGATAAAAAATAAAATTGACATCTAATTTTCATCTAGATAATATGAAACATTTCCACTACTGTAAATGCGGAATCCAACTGGAAAAGTTTCAAATTGGAACGATATTTAAACATAATTATTGTAAACTTCACTTAATTGAAACACATTTGTACCGGGAAATAATCATGTTTTTTGTCGCCACACAAGTTTTGCGACTTTTAATATTAAATAAATAAAGGTAGGAGGTTAGTTGGGTCCCAGTTATTAATCCACTTACATATCGTAGTATATTAATATTATTATTATGAAAAAAACATTGTTTTCAATGCATCGTGTTAAAAAGAAGATTAACCCTAGAATCACACTATGCTTACATCGGTTAACGATTCCAATCAGGTCTTATCAATATATTAAAAAGACTTAAGTAAATGTATGAAGGAAACAACGAAAAAATAATAGTACGCTCGATAAAGAACAATATTTAAAAGGTCAAATAACATAATATTCTAATAATACCCGATTTGACTTGCTAAATCTGTATCATTTAAGTTTTTACCAAGAACATAGTATTATAAAAACACATATATTTTAAATTAATCATAATAATAAAAATGAAATTGATTTTTCTAATATATACAATTTTTACCATCATTTTAAAATTCGATTTAAAATCAAGATTATTAGATAATAAATAAATAACACTATATATTGTAAAATTTGTTTTTTTCTGAAACTCTATTTACTTAAGTTATACTTTTTTCCGGAACTCAACTTAACTCTTATCTTTTTTTTCAGAACTCAATTTACAGTGAAAAGGTCATTGGAGTCATAATTTACCATACACATTCAAAAGTGTACGTAAATATAAATTATTTTTTAAATAAGTTTTATTATAACACACATATGCGTTAAAAATCATCATAATATGTCGTTTAATAAGAAGTAAAAATTTGGAAAATATGCAAAAATTTGCCATTTTTTGAATAAAATACAATTTTCATAAATTAGGTACACAAAAAATTATTTTAAAGAAAAACTAAAAAAAAAAGTACTGCACACTTGTGTATTGTTGTGTCTTCCTGTTATACGAACATACAATCATTATCATTAAACTTTAATCTCCTTGAGCATAAAAGTATAAATAATGATAATGTTCTTTTTATATTATTGTAAATTAATAATGCATTGATAAATTTAGATAAAAATTAATTCGGTCCGGTCGACGATCATTAATAAAATTTATCAGTACAATAAAGATTTTATTATTGTTAAATGTATTAGAAGCAAAACTAATAAAATTTTTATTAAAATTACCATTGATAGATTTACGATAAACAATTTAGAACGTTGGATGTTATATATCTAATAATTTTTTTGGACTATAAATTTATAAAAAAAAAATTGTTTCGTAAAATCTATGAAGTATGCATATAAAAGTTCTCAGACCTAATATATGCGAATTCCTATAAAATAATGAAAAATAATGAAATATGCAAAATTATGCAACAAACATTTTTGTATTTAAAATCTGCGTACTATGGATCGAATTTGTATGGAATTAGAATTTCAATATGCACTTTCGAAAAAAATATGCAAATGCCTAAAATTTATATCCTTGGTTACTTTTACGAATTTATAATATTGGGTAGAACAGTCTTTAATGACCCATTAATATTGGTTTTCTTTGGTATTATACATTTATAATCATTTAACATTTTTATATTGTCAATAAAATATTTGATCTATAACGGTTTTTGGATATGTAATGTAAAATGTGTGATTTATTTGACAAGTTACATTTTTCACTGATACGATACTTAGAACAATTAATCAAAGGTATACATACCCATATAGTACGAGTATAAGGGTTAATTTTTATTGAAAAATAATAATAAAAAAATAAAATATATTTAAATATACAAATATCTGAAGTTTAGCACTAATCAAAAAGGAAGTTTAATTTGAAATGTATTTATGCACCTTAAAAACAATAACTTGTTGGTCGAGGCATGGAGAATATTTTTGTGAATAAATTTATAACGTTGAAGGTTTGTAAAGTTCTCCATATAAAACTATGAAAATATTGTGATTAAGTGAATATTTAAGTGTTGGTATTTGATTAATTCCAATTTAGCTCGAATTTCTGTTATTGTGTTATTTTATATTTATAAGTCTTTGAACAATGGATTCGAGATGGTTTCCATTTTCATGTAAAGTAAAATAATCATTAAATTAAATTTTAACAAACTAGCATTGCAATATCAGATCAAAAATTCTTTATCTTATAATCGTAAAATAAGTGAAATAACTGTGTTTTAACAGAAAAACAATAGGTTACTTTAAAATGAGTTATTTATGCTATTTAATAATACTAAAAGCGAAATTAATTAAAAATAATATTATCTATGTCTTCATCAAAATTATTTATTACTGAAAAAATGTTTAAAAATGAAAGAGTTTAATATTTTAGTTACTAATTGGTCTCGAATTTAATTGAAATCATCAGTGTTCAGTACTTATAGCACTTTTATTAATTGTTAATTAGTATTATCCACATGAAAAATAAAAAAAAAATAACAAACACTTTTCAAACCTAACCCGTTTTAGAATTACTCAATTTCTTTAATTAGGAACCTTCCCTGTTTTTTAATTTTATTCGAAATTATTAAATAATTTTACTATAATTGATCGCTATCCATCCGAATTAAGTATATCAGGAATTTTTTAGTTTCATAATTAACCTTTTATAATTACATCAGGCGATACGATGGATTCGAACCATTATTATGTTATTATATTATATATTCTATAAGAATAAGGTTATTTATTCTACACGAAAATTATAACGAGCTGAGAATTATATATTGCAAATGTTGGTACGAAAGCGTTGATACTCGTATTTTATGTTTTTTGTGGGTTGAAATTTGTAGAATTTTTCTATTTCAAATTTGAATCATTTGCCAAGATATGTAAAGTAAATACAGAAACACACTTAATAAACACTTTTCTACAAAATCTACGTAATATGTGAAAATATACACGATAAAATTTTGGATTTGAAATCATGACATCGACAAATGAACAAATATTTCGTACACTGCTATATTTTATAATAAATACCTGACAAAAGTAGCGAATGCTGTAAGTCCCGAACCCTGGTAATTATCCTACTAAAATATGTAATTACGTAACATAAATATGAGCAGAAAAATATAATTATAAATAATAAGTATTAAGTATAAATAATATCTCAGCTTCGGTTTACTTAGGTGCCATTTTAAAGTATAACGACTTTTTGACATTGAACGATAATTCAAAAACAAACAAGACGTACTACGTATTAATGCAAATTCGAATCGTTTGAATTGTTTTTCACATAGGTAAGATGATGCATTTTTATCGTAATGAGTTTAATAACAATCACCTGAGCGCCGCTTTGTCAATCGCTTCTGATGTATCCACGGACGGCAATCCTTCAATACTGAGATCCACGTCATCCAACATTGATTCGGCTTCTCTGGACAAGGCCATACTGTATTCTTCTGAGTACGTGTTTTTTTTCTGACTACTGCGACGGACAATTGTCAATGCTCCGTGTCCTGAAGACAAATAATAAACATTTTAAAGTTCGCGATGCGTTACATAATTACATTTACGTATCATAAAGTTAGAAAACTTATTATGACGGATTGCAAAGATCCTACCCTGTTGTGGGCAGTATAATACACTGTATAAACATAAAACGAACATCCAACTGATCAACTAATCGATTTTTACGTAAAATATAGTTCGAAATACTATTTAAAGCTATAATATAACTTGAATTGTGCTTTTATTTTTTTTTTGTAAAATATCAAGTTTATAACGATCACAACAACGCGAAAACAGTCCTTCTGAAGACTCTCAAGTCATTATTACCATCTCGACCAATAAAAATACGGCAGCAGAGAAACAAGCGTAGTCCATAGACTTGAAGCCAAATTCTGGACTACACTATGACCCTGTAAGTACAGTCATATAAAGGGTAGGTCAGAACAAGGAAAACACGACTCTCCTCGTATTTGTAACCCACAAAACCAATTACTGACGCTTATCCCGTCAGTAAACACACGCAATACGGCGGTACGCAAGGAGTTTACTAGTCGGTACGGCACTCGGGTTATATACTGGACGATTCCCGAAATAACCGCACTCATCATTCATCATTCACACTCCACATCGCACTGTACACTCACTCTGATCCAGTTCAGCGTCCGAAGCAGCAACAGTCTCAGTACTTCCGACTCTCAACGAAACGCTAAAACTTCAACAGGCAACAGCACCAATAAAACAGCAGTTCTCAACAGGGCAACAGCGCCCCACAGGTAAGCCGACGCGAAAGCGTCCATACATCCAATACAGCCCATCCGTAAAACAACTGTCGTGGGGCCACACCGCCGCAGTACCTCTCCAAACACTCCCACCAACCCTACCAAAAACGCTCTTTTTAAAACGACAGAACTTTAAACTACCACCCTAAGCTATGGCCGGAAACAAACCGCGTAAGCGTAAAGTCCTTCGTCGAAACTTTTCACCCCCTTCACCATCAACACCGAGATCCTCCGACTCAGAGACAATCGACTCCTTTTCGAACTCAACCTCAACTACCACTGAACGTTCCGCTACCCAACCAACTTCCACCCTTCCGACACTCACCCAAACATTAAATTAATCAAAATTAAAAACAAAAGAATGTGGAACGACAAATTATATTATTTCACTTTCATAACGGTGAGTAAAAAATTAAAATAATGATATTTCAAATATTAAAGATCAAATTTCAACACTCGAAGAACATAGTCTTTATACACTTTTTGTACACTTAGCATAAGAAGTGATCGATATAATGATGAAAATCATATATACTAATAATAAGTGTAAGGAAGAAGAGACCACTCGGTAGCAGCAGCTTCGACACGATAACTTCTAAAATATTAATAATTCTGTGCACGTTTTTTTTAAGCGATCGGAGATGACTGGTGATGAGTGGGGGGAGAGAGGATTGTTGTTGTTCAGCGGTCACGTTCCGTTGATCAACCAAACCATCGGTGATCGGTGTACACGAAAAAGATTTAAAGCGACAAAGGAATTTAAACAAGGACGTGAGCGGGTAAGAATGAAATTTTCCTCTGCATCGGCATGTATGTCAATGCCGTCAAGTACTACTGCGAGCGATAAAACAGATATGTTTGACTGATTGACAAGGTTGACCTAGTACAGGGGCTCATTTTGATACGTGCGTAAGTAATGAATGGTATGTTTCTTTATTGTATAGTCTAAATATGTCCGGTTGGATTTTCGTTATCTTAATTAATCGGCGTTAACGTGTTTTAGTCGTTTTCGTGAACCATTTTTCTGGTACACATCGACCGTGAATTTATCTGAAACCTATATATTTCGGTTTGTTCGGTATACTTTTGCAATTGAATATGAAATCTTGACGTTTGTCAAATGAAAAAATTAATTCGATTTCGCTACCGGTCTTGAGTCTCAAAGATAATAATTAAAAATCGGATGTTGGAGTGACGTCTCGTCGGCATCCGATAAGAATAAAATTGATTTTACATGGTTTTTTTTTCCGTTTAAGGGGGAGGGCAAGTATTTGAACACATGTTCGGTATTTTAAATGTAATGTATATTCTATGCTACAATACCTATTATTAGTAAACGTTTTGTGTTGCACGAAAACTTAAACGAATAATTTTCGTTACGTATTGTATTGTAGCATCGAATACTGATATTCGAATGATCGAATATTCGAATATATGAATACTCGAATAATTCCCATCACTGTTCGGAATGTAGTTGCGAATTCGTACAAATGATACGGCATAATATTCAACCAACGTTAGGTCATCATTATCTATCTCGAAAACGCGACGATAACAACGGTACTGAGCTTTTGAATTGTATACAGGGCGTTCAATATATAGGATTTAATCACTTTTCATAGTCAACCATTATCGCAATATAGTTGCAGTTTTATATTTTCATCATTTTTTAAAACACGTTAGTGGTTATTGGGTAATCCTATGTTGAATATACAAATTGTGAAATATTTTTGAAATTAAAGAGTCACCTGAGACATATTATTATGTCAAACTTCAATCGTTATAACTTTACTGTATTTTACGTTATATTATTTAAATACCATAGCAATAGAAGTACCATTATAAGAAATTTATCGTATACTAACTGTGTCGTATGTAAATTATTATAATATTGTTTCGGGGTGTAATCGTGCGTGGTACTTACTGGTGTTTTGATCATAATCATGCGAACCGCTCGTGCCTTCATCCATGAACACTGAGTCGTCTTTATTCCTGGCAGCGATATCTTCCGCGGAGTCTGGTGGGCCCGCCACTGAAACAACAAATACAAACAATGTCAGTATTTCAACCATCCTATACATCCTTAGGTACAACACGATATATTGTCATGGCGTCGAAAGATTTCCTGATACAAGTTTGGTGTCCAAGCAATATTCACACACACGCACGCTAACACGAATACACACATCACATGCTGTGATACACCTATAGAGTAAAACGATTTTTAAAACGAACGTGTGCGTGTAAGGCATATTTAGAGTTTTCGTAAAATCACGAGCCGTATTTTGGGAGGAGGAGAGGAGAAACTGAAAAATGTCGAATCGAACAAATTCGCCACAGCACTGTCTTGGGATTCGCACGCGCATAAACTATTTTAGATTCTCTCGTGTAAATAGTTTCCGTGTTTACGATGAATCTTTACATATTTCGTACGTCCGTCTCTGGTTATTCAAACAAATCGCTTGGTGATTTGTCGTCGGCTCGAGTCTTTTCACGCATACACACATGTTTCGGCGTACAAAAAGTAGAAACCCTAACGCATGCACGCACGCACGCACGTAGACCTTGCTCGAGAAGACGGTTTGACTGTAGCGCGTTATACGTGTATATCGGTTGGAAATAAATGACTAACGAATAAAAATGGCGACGTGTCTGCCGTGATAAATCGTGGTTTTTTAAAAAAAAATAAATAAATAAAAAAATAAAAAAAGAGAAACTGCTCGGGAATGATACATACACACATATATACAAATATATACATATTAAGATTGGTGCGTATACAATAAGGTGTGTGTGTGTGTGTGTATGTGTATCGTCACCATCGCTCGGTGGTATAATATATAATATGTAATATGACGGGGAAAGCATATGTATTTCAGCTGCAGCCGTAGAATATTATCGCGTTCGCGTGTTTTTTGTCAGCAACAGGAAACAAATGACACAAAAATCCTAAATCGTACGCCGTTCGATTTTCAATAATCCGTCAAAATATCACAGGCCAACCAGCCCGAATAAACACGGTGTGTAATGTAACCACGGTGTAACTACTAAAGTAATGGTTTGTTGTGCGTACTATATGGATTTAAAAAGATTAATTTTACAATTATTTAAACATTATCATATACTTTGTATTTTGCTGCGTTTGAAAATAATGTAATATTTACCAGACATAAAATATGTAATAAAAAAAAATTATAAGAACAAAAGAAGTATATAATATACATATAAACATATTGAATAATTATCACATATTATAAAAAAACTTAACATACAGTAAAAAAGTATATGAATAATTCATAATTTTGTATTCGTATCACTTGATGCAGTCGTTTCTTTTATACTGTTTTATTTTTAATTTGTGACTTTCTGTGACGATAATATTTTTTGGGGTAGAAAAATGTTTTTTATTATCTTAATGGAGATACTTAGCAAAGTTTAAAATACAAATCTTAGGTGAAAACTATATTATAAACGATATAAATATTTAAAATCTGTAAAAAACAATTGATTTATTAAATAAACAGGTTTTTGAGTTAATTATAAAATGTTGAAAATTGAATGCTTTTTATGCTTTTTTTTTCCAAAAAAAGTCGATAAAATAATTTTCGGTTTGACAAAATCTCTTGTAAATTCAATTCAATATTCTTCATACACATCTGTTACCGATGAAAAAAATAATAGAGTTTAATTTCAACAAAAAAAATTAACGATTCAACATTAAGTTTTGACAAATTAAAAATCATCAAATCCCGTTTGTTGTTAAAATCTATAATTCTGTACATTTTAATATCCAAAGCTTGATAATGAGATATAAGATTTTTTTTGTAGCGTAAAATGTATACTGGAAATTCATAAAAATGTTTTATAATATTTATATTATTATTATTATTATTATTTATATTATTTTAGAATTTCAAATATTTCAACGAATTTACCATTAATTAGTTATCACATAAATATTAATCGTACAGCGACTCGAATCATTCAATACTTTATAACGGTTACAACAATACACTAAAATAGTCTTTTTGAGGACAACACAATTTATTACCATCATAAACATCATCAACCAATCAGTACACGACATTAGAAGAAACATACGTAGTCCAGGGACTTAGAACTAAATGTAAGCTCTCTAGACTACACGACGACCCTGTAAATACAGCCATGGTTAGGAGACGTGAGGACGAAGATAATGAGACCCTCCCCACGGCTGTAAAACACAAAGTCAATGAATAACGTCCGACAGTAAACACGGATGGCACATCCGAGGTTTACTAGTTGGTACGGCACTTGACTTATGAGCATATACTGGACGGTTTCCTAAAAGCCTCATTATTAAACTAAATTCTTAAAAAACAAAATTCAACATAATTAAAGAAGAGAAGACCTCCAGGATACGGAAAGCAGCACAATGAGCCACCTTGTACAAACCCGTGAGCAACCCATTCGGACATCGCTACACACTGTTTCTACGAGTCAACGATGGGTAACCGTCGACACTGCATATCATACCGGAAACTTGCGTCGACAACATACCAGGAATACGGCGGCGCTGCCACTGACCATCCGGCCGACGAAAATCCCCTTATCTCCCCCTCGGATATTTTGAGAACATGCCATTCCCTCGCCGAATCACTGTAGTAGTCGATATTGAGAGCTAAATTTAACTTGTGGTCAACCTCATTCCCTAACATTAATTTAACTCCCGGTAATCAATGTTATATCATATAAATAGGACGAAGGCCCTTGGTCCGCTCTGAAAACATACCAAACTCGGTATCTCGCTATTCAGTCTGGTTGCCGAGATAACGTGTATTTGTACTTTTCATATTACGAAACTAATACCAATAAATACAGGTGACACAAGTACGTGAGTCCAGGGTGACAAGCGTACCAGGGCCATGAATTATCACAGCAGGATGTGACCGAGGAGAAGTAGTAACTGTTGCCAACATCAACTTGTGGCAGTAGAAGTCACCAAATAAAAGTAGTATGTATTTTTTTAATGTAGCGTTATCACGGGGCTCCAACATTCCAGCCACTGTTTTTTGTATAAATTGCTCTGCGTAATGTGTTTGGACCCATGGTAAATGTTTGTCTTTGTTATTCAATAAACTTTGAAAGTAGTAGTGTGAAAAAACAGATCCCGCCTGGCTTTCGGTTCAATGGGAAAAAATATTTAAAAAAAACACCAATAACAACGTAGTCATTATTTAAAAACTAAAAAACAAACGTAAGCTACCGTTTCAATTTATATAAGGTGTTTAAAAAAATTTGGTGAAATCGAAATATTTGAATAAATTGTGTGCTGTGTCAATAGGCTATTGAAATATTCGATTTTCCCTAATAATACATGCTTTTTTTTTGCGAAAATTAAAAGTTAAGTTTAACTTTTTTTTAATGTTTTGACTTAATAATTAATAATTATATTTTTCTAATATATAAAACATCATTAATAGTATAATATAAATGTGACCTCATTATTTCGTAATAATTTTTTTGAGAATTTATTGGTTTCAAATTTAAAATACCAATATTATTCATTCATCCTTGTATTTTATTATAACTAAGAGTTTCGTCCGGTTTTTTAAATTAAATTTCACGATATATTAAATATTAAACCCTTGAATGAACTTTGTGGATTTGTGCTTTTTATTTTTATTTTATTTTTTCACCTGGCGGAAATTTCATGCGCAAGCTGTATGCGTTTGGATCGATAGTAAATTTTTTTACTTACTGCATTCGTATTAAGCAATTATTAATCGTTCTACCGATTTTTTTTCTATTTTCCGGTTTTAATTTAATTTTAATAAAGAAATCCGTTGCCGCGTCATTTGCAGACCGTAGCCGGCAGGTATTGCGTTCACACCCTTTGTTTTTCTTTTCCTCGTCTAAAACTTAACAAGATTTCGTAATTTATACCAACAATTTTCACTTATCACGGGATACAAAAAAATACCGTTGAACAAAGACAGAAGACTTGTGCGGTTCATGCGACAGACAGAATGATTTCTTTCGCGGCCAATTATTATTTTGTTCTATAACTTATCGACCGTGAATGGTTGTCGTATTAACAGAACCGTACTCACATCACGGACCAACAAAGAGTTGTCTTGTGAATCATATACAGTTAGTTTTTTGGTAAAAATGATTTGAAGTTTGCCCCGAGTTAACGGTTCTATACCTATAGTTTAATCTATAAATGACGTTTGCTTATATATTCTAAATCTGTTTTTTTTTTTAATGTATCAATAAATACATACGCTTAGCTTGTAATGTATCATCGTTTCCATTGCGTATTATTCATCGTTTTATATTCATTGTCTGCACAATTTATAATTATTATAAATCGTACATATTTTATAACGAAATTTCGTTTACTAGTGCAATCGGATGTTTTCCGTTTGCATCCAATGGAAACTATATCATTTTTTTCGCTTTCGTCAGCGCTCGTATATTCCATTGATTTCCAACGCGTTAGCATCGCGTACGGTCGTCGGACGAAAAATTATTATTAAAGCGATCCGTTTGCTGGCTGGTCCGGTCCGAAAAGTGCGATCAGGGCCGTAGCAAAGGGTGATGAAAGGTGCTTACGTCCCGAGCTCAATTCCTGGGAGAGCGCAAAAATTAAAATCTTGCATTTTATGCTAAAAATTACAACGACCAATGTCATATATTTTGTTTACAAAATCTTTAACATCCTTCATATAAATGAAAACAATCATTGAAAATAATATCTAATAAGCGTAATATTTTTAAATTAAAAATATATAAGAGCGCATTTTGAAGTTTCGCCCCGGGCGCAATGTTTAGTTGCTACGGCACTGAGTGCGATACGTCGCGGACGTCAACGTCAAAATTGTTACCACCTCGTGCGCAAATCTCATAGCGTGTCGGGGCATGGGGAGGAAGTTCTGTGAGTCGCGTCCATACAGTTATGTGCACGTGAATCGTTTAGGAACATCGTTTGGTCTGCCGCACTATACGAATATTTTGATCCACGTATTTTAACTTTTAAACACATTTTAT